AAAGTGCCTAGAGAAGCGGTTAAAGCTTATTTCACCAAGTAATGAAGGCGAGTCAATAGCACCATTTATTACTTTAATTAGAAAGGAAACGCCAAGAACAAATCTACGTTTCTCAAGAAACGGTAGGGACAGCAGAAGCAACCTATTTTCATACGGATTAATTAAATTAATGCAACCAAATTGATCACTTTTGTGTAAAAGCAAACCTTTGACCAATCCAAATGTCTAACCACCTCTTTAGTTTAGAGGTACCATAACTTTCCGAACGGAGGAATTTATTTCAATATCAGATGTATGAATGATAATTTTTTGCATTTTAGGAAAGTATCACAGCATACGATCCGATCATCAAATGGCAATAATGTATTTCCAGAGAGCTTTAAAACCTAATCCAAAATATTTAGCCACGTGAACTTTGATGAGTCATAAGTTTAGGGAATTGAAAAACACCAATGCCGCAATACAAAATTAACGTAAAGATGTTGGGCCGAATATGCTGGTACTTTTGTCAGTTGCTATATTCATGGGATCGCAAGTTACGGACGAAAATACCAAAAATTTGCCAAAGCTTTTTCGAATTTGTCTCAGTTTCTAATCTGTTGTGGTCGCGTTTGTGGGTACACACCACAACCATTTTTTCGATCGTATGTTCTTAATCGGTTATATGATCGTAGTAATTATTCTAGACTGCGAAAATAGTCCATATGTTTAAGAACCTTATTTGAACGTGGAGAATTTCGAGTATGCAAAATTCCAAATTATAACACTAATGAAATACCACTCTTTGTCAAGCGGAAGATAACTAACGAACTAAGCTACGATAAGCGATACTTCATGTAATTTTACGTTATATATACTCTTCGCGATTACATGAACCATCAGACAATAAATAAAAACAAATTATTTACGGCATAAGAAAAGAATGCGCTCATTTCAACCGATTTTCAAGGGCCCATGGCTACACCAATCCTAGAAACACATCGTTTAAGGTCACATTAGAAGTGCGACAAATAAACACATATCATGTGCGTATAAGAAAACTGCACATATCTCCGGTTCTACACACATAGCTCTTCTATATAAAATAAACAAGAGAGGGCACAAAAATGATCCCTGAAGAACCCCAGCAAACTGGGTGGCAGCAAGACTTGGCACTATTACGCGCAGAGATCACACTTCGTAAAGGTTTTTATTTTTAAACTGTCTCAGGGGATATGTACTCAGGTAAGGATTTTACTAAAACAAAGTCACAGTTACGTTTAAAAAAGGCATTGGATGGAAAACGAGTAAACTGTGTGCTATCGGACATGGTTGCTAATAAGATTACCAGCATGCTTAGCGTAACCGGCAATCTCTCCATCCTCCGTACGCCTCTCGAGTTGCTATTTTATATTGTAGTGTGATCGCATACCGTCGTATGCATCCACTTTGAAGTGCGACGGAATTATGCTAAGTTTGCATAATTCTGTAACAAAAATTTTGTCGTACTTCAACTGGCTGGGTATTGCATTTCGTAATGCAATACAATGCCACGCGCCCTAATCAAAACAATTACTATCTGTTTACGTTAGAATAATTTAGTGTAATAATTTCTGTATAAATAGCCAGGTAAGAATTGAATAAAGTTAGTTGTTATCAAACAATTCAATCAAGCGTTTAATTCGCTGAAAATACAAGGCGTTAAATCCGCCCAAGTTCAAAGTTAGGGAACGTCTCTTGCCGAGCTTCATTGGCACTCCATGAGACGGTTAGACTTGGCGCACAGAAGCCGAGCAGCATAGGGCTAAACTGCGGTACACCAAATAATAAACCAAAACATTATCCATGCTATATAAAACATCAATACCGCACAAATCACTTTTTTTATTACATGGCGATACTGCAACCGATCCTGCCAGCTCTCCAATTTTATTAGGGCATCGCCAATACTTATTACATGGCGATCCTGCCCAACACGATCCTGCCGGCTCTTCAATTTTATTTGGTCATCATCATTAATTTACAAAAATTCTTTCAACCGCTGAGGCACTATACCAAGCCCTGATCCCGCCCAGCACAATCGTCCCCGCAATCGTACTTACCAATATCATTGGTTCCAAGAAAGGAAAACCAGCAATAACCAATAAAATAAAAAATTTTTTTTTAAAATCTTTAATTTTATAAAAAATTAATGCATACATTCAAATATAAATACGTATATTTTAATGGAAAGAATAGACGAAATTAAT